CAAAAGTTTTATATTTAATTTTTTTATTAAGTATTCCAATGAATACTTACTTCAAAAAAAATATTTATAATTCAGTTAATAATTTACTTTTATAATTATACACTTTAACGAAATCAATATTTTTTTTATTTTCTAAGAATGTTTCTAATGCAAAAAATCTAAATTGTATTAGAATTACATACAGTAAGACTTTGTTAAATGCTTTAGATGTGTTTCTGAAGACAGAGCGCTAAACGAAACAGCGTTTTGGAGGTCATTTTAACAGATAGCAAATAGGGAAACGGGAACACGCAACCAAAAATAATCAAATTTTACTTTAATTTTAAGTTGAATTTATATTAATTTGCATTATAATATATGTTTTATATAACATAAATATTTGCACACAGAAATATTAAGTTTATTTCTGTGATGAAGGTCCTGGCTCTTCTGATATTTTTGGCGATAAAATCATCTAGAGCCATTTCTCGCTTTCTTTTTCTTTCATTAATCAAATGTTGGTAGCAGGCGATAGCACCCAAAACTCGTCTTATTACTTTTGTACTCTTGTCAAAATTTGGATCATTCGCTACATTTTGATCAACGATTTCGGTTATCGTTTCTAAACTTTTTCTAAGAAAATCTGTAGCAATTTCTTATGGTTCATCGTCTTCAGAATCACTATTTTTCTTGTTCTTCCAGTTCTTGAAGGTCGTCGATGGTAAGGTCCTCACAAAAAAACCTGCAGTAACTCCTAATATCCTGCTCATCAACATCTCAAACAAGCATATATTCTGGGAAAGCACGTGTTCGGGAATAATCGTATTATATACGAATCAATGAAATGCCGCGATAAATTAAATTTTGAGCTTTTTAAGGTTTCCAGCTAACCGCGTTATAGCAAATCAGCATTAATCGAGGCAGCGCTAAACGAGTTCTTACTGTACATGGTTAGGTGTCGCTCATCCATGTACTATCCGAGATATACGTTGCTTAACTTTCGTAAGTTATCAAATGTCAAGATCCTATAGACTTCAACCATAACAAGCAATTGTTATATAAAGGTAAACAAATTGTATTATTCTATTTTATAATAGAAATTTAATTGTCACTACATAATAAATACTGTCATTAATATCACATTTCTTGAAATTGTAATTGAAAAAAGACGGTTTTAAATTTATACTTTATAGATAATTTATTTCCAACGTAGTAAAATCACGAAAAGTATAAAAAATTATACTAGTGTTTTTTTTAAGAATATTTCATTTTACGACTCTTTTTTCGGTAAAGTTCACACGTGTCGTAAAACGAAACATAAAGAAAAAGGAACTCAAATAATGTTTAATACTTTTTTTTAAAAAGAATGTTAAAATTATAAAGTTAATTAAAATAAATCTCATTGTATATAAATTAATGTTCACAGCAATACCTCGCATAGTCCGGGTATTTGGTTCCGCCAATATTATGGACTGTTTGAAACCGGATTAATTAAGATCCGAAAAATGAAGCGCACAAATAAATGACTTTACTATGTAATGAAAAAAAACCGATCAAATAATTTTGAAGTTTTGAAGCCACAGTATGCGAGGCATTTCTGTATCTTTAAAATATTATTACATTTTATAAATTTGGAACTCTATTATTTCTACAAATTTGAAAACAAACTTATTTTTCAATTATGTAAGAGAAATTTAAAAATAATAACGTAACGTTCGCGAAAAAGCTGCGGTCAATAACCTATTTTATTTGTATTTTTACATATGCAATAAATTCTAGTTATCTCCACAGTACAATTCATTAACTCTCTGAAAATAAACTACTTCCGTATCCATTGAATTTCTATTTTTATATATAATACACTACATTCACTCTGCATTCGGGGATTGAAGTATATTGAATTTAGCGTAATCCGAGTTATGTCACAGTTGGCAGAAGTCAGCGTAAAATAATGTGTTGGAAAAATCAATTGGCAAAATGCGGTAATGGAACAAGAAAAAAATCCCTTTTTATTGGAAGTAATAAAAAAGGAGTAAAATATTTATTACAATTGGTTACCTAAATCGGAAATCATGGCTTTTGTCCGGAATAGTTTACTTTTCAACTTAATTGTTTGCGTTTATACATGAATGACTTGATATACGACTTTAATTCCATAAATGTGGGGATTTAGTTCTTCAAATGCTCGAGTCATAAGTATTAGAGGAGAATCAACGTCGGTTTTAGTAAATGTTAAACAATGGTTGAATGGAAGAATTAACCAACAGTATGGGACGATTTAAAAAGGATCACAACCGACAAGCTTTATTTATTTTGCGGTAATTTATTAAAAAAATAAATAGTTTATTGGTATTAATGCCAAAATTGGAGCTTATTATCTTTTTGCTTTTTTAGATAGATTGCTTTATGAAATAAATGATTGTTCATGTGATTTAAAAACTAAGCTTCATTATTTTGAAAGATTTAAAAAAAATGTTTGCTGAAATTTATATTAGCGAAACAATTATTATATTAACTGTAATGATGAAATTCCATGCGTAGAAAGATTACCATGACTAGAGATTACAAAAATAAACTTATTTTTTGTTGTAACTATTACTAAAATTAGTTGGATGCATTTTTTATTTAGATATAAAAAGTAACAAATTGTTGTATTAACTGTATTGAAGGAATTCACAACATAGGACGATTCAAAAGGATCATTACTGAAGTTTTGTAGAAGATGTTAAAAAAATAATTAATGCTATTTTTACTTAAATTGAACTAGTAAAAAAAATTTGTATTAACTATATTGAGGGAATGCACAACATAGGACGATTAAAAATAATTATGACTAAAGTTTACTGAAATAAGCTTATTTTTTGTTATAACTATTACAGAAATGAGTTTCGTACAATTTTTATTTAGATAGAAAAAGTAACAAATTGTTGTATTAATTGTATTGAAGGAATACACAACATGTGACGATTCAAAAGAATCATGACTAAAGATTTCTGAAATAATCTTATCATTACTGAAGTTTTGTATAAGATGTTAAAAAAATAGTTAATCATATTTTTACTTACATTGCAATAGTAAGAAAATGTTGTATTAACTATATTGAAGAAATGCACAACATAGTACGATTAAAAAGGAACAAGTTTACTGAAATATGCTTATTTTTTGTTGTAACTATTACAAAAGTTAGTGTGATGCAATTTTTATTTACATGGAAAAAGTAAAAAAAAATGTTGTATGAACTGTATTGAAGAAATGAACAACATGTGATGATTCAAAAGGATTATGACTAAAGATTTCTGAAATAATCTTATTTTTGTTGTATCTATTACAAAAAAATAGTTTAATGCAATTTTTATTTAGATAGAATAAGTAACAAATTGATCTATAACTGTATTAAGGAAATGCACAACATAGGGCTATTCAAAAGGATCAAGACTGTGAAATAAGTTTAATGTTTGTGGTAACTATTAAAAACATTATTTTTTTACATTTTTCTATTTAGAATGGAACTGTAACAAATTGTTGTATAATATTATCTGTATTGATGGTATACACAGCTTAGGACTATTAAGAAGGATTATGACTAAATATTAATGAAATAAGCTTAATTTTTGTGATAATTATTTATATAGTTTAACAGTAACAAATTGTTATATTAACTGTATTGATGGAATACAACTAAAGATGACTTAGAAAGATTATGTCTGAACGTTCGTTGTATTTTTCTATTTAGATCTAAACAGTAACTAATTAAGAGTTCATTAATTGCGGATCATGTAAAACAGTCACAAACTAAGTTTAATCAACTAAGTTTTATATCATTTTTATTTAAATTCGAAGAGAAATTATTGCTTTTTTTTAATATCAATTAGATTGAGTTAACTATATTTGAAACTTTTATGTTTAGACCACGTTAATATTATTATTTTAAAAAAAATAAATTGTTATAAATAATTTTAAAAAAAATCAATATTGAATCACGACCGAAATTTACTATTTTTGGTAGCTGGTTATTAAAAAAAAATAATGTATGCATTTTTTTTATAAAGATTAAATTATAATGCAGAAACAAATTACAGGAATTAATTAACTGTTGTGATGGAATGCATCGATATTAATGTGGAGCATTTATAAAAAGAAAATGTGTTGCTGCGTTGAAGATGAAAGCGGTTTGTACTAGTTCCGTGTTTAATTCAATCCAATTTAGGAGGTATGCAATGACAGAGAAAATGTTTTTTTCTGCTCTTATGAAATATAACCAAGGTTGCTACTAAATTTAAAAATAACATAATTTATATTTTAATTCGTCTAATTTTATTGTTTTCTTATATAATTATTAAATTTTCATAAATAATAATTTTAATTAATTATCTACATAATATTTTTACTGATGATATATTTATCTAATGTTTCATATACTTTTACTAAAGATTTGATTGGAAGTTGTGGCAAGAGAAGAATGGACTTCCTATTTCTTTTATGAAAGTTTATTCCATGTATGCAAAACCACATCCTAATTTTAATTAGAATTTAGGTTTTTTATATAAAAATTATAAAAAAACTATATAAAAGTAATAATTTTAATAATTTTCTTCCGTACAATATTTTTTTTATGTATATAAAAGTTTTTATTGGTGCTAATAGAAAAATGCACTCAGTGTCCAATTGTTTCTGAGTGATTAATGAAAGTTTATTGCATGTATTAAAAATTTAAATATATTTTTCAATTTTGTTTATTTTTTATATAAATTTATTATAAAAAAACTATATAAAAAAATAATCTAATTATGTTTCTTACTTATCATATATTTTTTTCTAATAAATGTAATATAAATTTAAGTTTATATTGGATGTGGTTCCAAGAGAAGAGGCCAATCATTGCCCAATTGTTTCTAAGTGCTTGTTGAAAGCAATCTCTTAATTCACACGTTATTTATTCAATGATCGTTGGGCCCCACAAATTGGTCACCTCGGTCTACATTCTTTTCGGGCAATCGATGCGAATTGCTTCTACAACTTACTTGATCCTAGCTCACTTAAATCTCCACGGAAACAAACACACTGAACAAACAACACTTTCCTTTTTTTCTATTGGTACACACAAAACGTTTACAATTTATTCACACTGAAATATTCCCATAGTTTTTTTTTTTGTTATTTCATTTTATGTATTTTTTTTGTCGGGATGCACGACGACGGGATGAACTTGGTGGAAAAGTTTTGGTAGCGCGAGCGCGACTGATCATCTGGTAGCTCGCACAGTTTTGGAGCGTCGCGACGGCTGTTCGCAATCCACTGACGCCCCCGTGCGTATGCCGCGACGCCGATTTTCTTGACCGGACTTCTCTCACGCACAGACCATTCCATTGATGCTCCCAATTCTCTGCTTCGTGTTATTTTCTTTCTACTTTTTTTTTGCGCTCTCCGTATTCTTCTCGCACTTTGTAGGCTCATCTACTTACACTTCACTATCCTGGAGTTAATGGTGATCACGAAGCCTCCAGACTGGAGGCTGGATGCGACCTTTGATCATTAACACTTTAAGCATAGGGCAGAACGGTTATGGCCAAAATAATCACACGACTTTATTGCCTAGAAACGCTCCCCAGACTTTAATAATTATATAATAGGAGTGTGCTAGTACACAACATAAAGACATACATACGCGCAAAAAATATACAAATTACAGAAATTTATTTATATTAAAAAGACTATAAATCTACAATTTATTATACACATAAGTATAATAAATTATAGTTTTAATACTTACAACGAGAAACGTTTAATCAATTTAATTTATTGTTCGAAAAAAAAATCTTCATTTATAATTTACAATTTCTATAACAATTTTGTATACAAAACTTCTCTTATTTTAATTACAAAAGTTATTAATTCTTTCGACCAGTCCTTTGCCTTGTTTAAAAAAAAAAATAAAAATGTTAATTGCTTAAAAAAAATGTATGCAATAAAATATAAGATAATAATAAATTCGTAATTAAAGTATGACTCAGAATGTTTATGGCAAAATATAATGATGCGATTTTATTGTATTGTGTGGTCCGCGAGCCGCATTTGGCCGCCGGAGAGATTTTAAAGGCCCGAAAATACAATTCGATTATATAATTCTTGTAAATACTTTGTTCATAGTTTTAGAATCATAGGCTGTGCTCATATTCGCGACTGCTAATGAATGAAAAAGAGATAGATGGGAGTTTGTCATTGTATGCTTACATAGTGGAACTACGCTTAACGAGCAAAATAAATTGTAAGATAAACTTGCTTAACAACCGACGTTTCGCATAACGAGTGACGATGAGAAGAGAAGTCCCTGATTGTGCGCCTGCTACATTATTTATAAAACTTATTTTTTTGTTGTCATCTTTGTGAAAAAAATAATAACACATGCACGTCTCTGATTAAAAAGACAAAGAATAAAAATAACGCATTATTGCATTTTATATTAATTTATATGGTAAAAATTGTTTCACTATACGAGTAAAAATCCGAAAATTTTGTAACGGATTATGCTCGTTAAGCGAGGTTCTACTGTATTAGTTTATGTACTTGAAAAAAATGACTTCTAAAATGGAAATGTTATTAAAAATTTACGATTTTTTACAGCATATTGAAACATGTACAATATGCCTGTACGCCGTAAGAAAAGCGCGCAATGACAAAATCGCGTGTATGTCAAAAACGGTATGTTAGTAAGCTAAGGCACAAGAGTTTTACTGTGCACTTTTGTTTCTGCGCTTTATTACCGGGTAACCCTAAAAAATATATATAAACCAACGTAAAATATTTTAAATTAAAATATTATACATATTTAGTGACCATTATTTATTATAATAATTTATTAATGTTGATAAATTACTCGTAAAATGGAAATATTATTATGTAAATAATTATAATGCATTGTTTTTCGGAGACTTTGATGTTGTGGACACATTATTATAAAATTATTTAAATCATTATAAATAATTAAAATAATAATATTTATTTATTATTTTTATTCAATTTTGACCAAAATAATAATATAATTCATGAAAAATTAAATTTAAAAAAATGATGTAATCCGAGTTATGTTATAATTGTTATTAGCGACTGTCAAAATGCAGCAATAAGTGAACGAAGCGTAAAATATTTATTATACAAATTGACAAGAAACTTAAAAAAGGATCAAATTTCTTCATAATGAACAACTTCCTTCAGAATGTTGCAAAACAAAGTTATCATAAAACTTAGTACAATTTTATAATACAACATTTTATATATTTCTCATATTTTCCACTCGAAAAATTACCGGAAGCTTTTTTATTTGAACATAAAAGTGCATCTAATAAATAATTCAAACTTTTTCAAGTAATTTCATATTTTATTTTATTAATCTTTTCTTTAAAGTTTATTTTGGTTTCAACATTAAATCTCAAACCAAATTTTATTAGAATAATATTTCACTACTAAAAAAATAATATAGTAGAATACAATTTTATAATGATAATATTTAAATATTTGCATTCAGCAAAAATAAAAATAAATTGGAAATCTTAACAAGAAAATGGAATTATTTCTATTAGAAAAATATTATTATTATCCACAATGTTTTCGTTAATTATCAACAATTGTTTCTTACATAAACTTGTTCAGGTGGTATTCAATAGTAATATTTACCAAATGTTTTGTTATACAAATTTAACCTTCAAACACATTAATGGATATAATGTAATGCGTATAATTGTAGACGCATTTTAATTTAGTTAATATAAATGTAGAAAATATACAAATTAACATTCTAAATTTGGTATAATAATGTTATATGTATTCACACATTATATAATACGAACGTTCATATTTCTTCGTTTATTAGGAAGTTATTAATATTTAGCCATTAGCTCAATTTGTCCAATCTATTTTCTTATAACTCTTATTTATTTATCAAAACAAAATCATATCAAGTTAGAATAAAAGAAAGGTATTTCAAAATTTAGTATTTCAATTACAAAAGTTAGTCTTGTATAGTTTATTTAAATCCAATATAATTATATATATTTTATAATGATTTCTTAGTATTAATTTAATTATCATTAGTGACAATTAACACATACACAAAATTATAAATGTATATACCAAATCAGATCTGATCTGATTACAAGTAATCGGCAATACCTCACTTAGTACGGCTTCGACTAGTGCGGATTCACTATAGTACGGTTTGAAAACAACCGCATCATAAGAGGTATTGCTGCATTTGCATCTTCAATTTGTAAAAATAATGTGTTCTTGTATATTTGGTTGCCAGTACTTATACAAATTTAAATATAAGTTTATTAATGTTACTGCATTTCATATTTAAAGTATACATATTAATCATTCCTAATATACATTTAAAAACGTTTCTAAAAACCTGGGTTTTAATATATTTGAAGTATTATAGTGATTTGTCCATTTATAAATTAATTATACATTATTAATTAAATAAACTACAATAACATTGACTATCATAAAGAAATAGTTTAATTATATCACAATTAATATATCAATTAAATTGAGCTTTATTATCATTATAAAGTTACAAATAGAGGTGATATTAATTTTATATTTGCCTGTTACTACTGGCGCACTCTGTATTGGAATGTTTAAAGTTAACTTTATCAATTTGCTAAAAAAAATAATAAACATTTTTACTAAAATAAACAACATTATCAATTTCCTATATATTCGGTTCATAAACACGCCTGTTCTAGTGTGGTATTTAATAATAATCGACTGGATACAAAATTACAATTTTCTAACCTACAGCTGTACAACTGGCAGCTGTCAAAAACATAAGGTTGAGGTAAAAATCTCGTGGAATTTTCATCAGATGTGCTTCGTGTGTTAATAGAAGACAAGCATTTGATTTTTTGATACCTTTTTCAAATGTGATAGCAACTTTAGAGAGTATTTACTGAACTAAGTTTTTAACTATTTAGAAATATCGACATGAGCGACGCAATAAAATTCAGGAAGATGAATGGAATCGAGGGAAAAGCGCCGTTCCTGATCGGCGTTGCTGGAGGAACCGCCAGTGGAAAGGTACGTTTTATCGATCTCGAGTATATCTTGTACTTATCACATGTTATTTTTAGAGTACAGTATGCAAAAGGATCATGGAGAAGCTGGGACAAGTTGATATGGACCAGACTCAAAGGCAGGTGGTGTGCATATCACAGGACAGCTTTTACAGAGAGCTTACAGCTGCTGAGATTGTAAAGGCTGGCCAAGGCTTATTCAACTTTGACCATCCAAATGCTTTTGATGAGGGTCTCATGGAGAGGACTCTGAATGACATATTGGCTGGCAAGAAGTGTGAGGTCCCAGTCTATGATTTCAAAAACCACACCACGTAAATCAATTTGTAATTGTAACAATTTTATTGAAATATTGAAATGATTTCTTTTTCACAGGCGTAAAGATGAGACTATGACCATCTACCCAGCTGATGTTGTTTTGTTTGAGGGTATCTTGGTGTTCTTTTTTCCTCAAATTAGGAACTTGTTTCACATGAAGTTATTTGTTGACACTGATTCTGACACGCGTCTTGCTAGAAGAGGTATTTAATTATATACTTCATCTTAATTCAGATTACAAATTGATTTTTGTCTTTAGTGCCAAGAGATATCATTGAAAGAGGTAGAGATTTGGAGCAGGTTTTAAATCAATACATGAATTTCGTCAAGCCCGCATTTGAGGAGTTTTGCTCTCCGGTAATTAAATCAAACCGTATTTCTATCTTGACGATAAGTTGAAAATATTAACGATATTAACTAATCTTTTTCAGACTAAAAAGTTTGCTGATGTGATTATCCCGCGCGGAGCTGATAATACTGGTGAGTCGAGGGGGAAGAATTCGTTGACTCGTTTCATATCCATTTGCTTTTTGACATTAACTTTAACAAATTTTTCCGCAAACAAAAATTTCGCTTACTAACAATTTACGAATGATATATGCACATGGCTTCAGTATCATCAACTGATACAAAGAAACTTCTTGAAATGAATAGAGAGAACAAAAAAAATCTATTTACATGAATGTACATTGTACATATATACAATGTTCTGCTTGGTCTTATGGTCACTGCAAAAACATTACAGCCATTCTGTATTCCCTATGCACGTGGAAATTGACGGATGGATTCCTCTCCTCTTTATTTTAATTGTTCACATGATCAGGCATTTTCGTTTATTTATTTACTTTATTTCTATTATTATTTTGTTTGTTCAAGGCAAATCGCAAATGGAATCCAATTTACTGTTACTTTTTAAGATAATTAAGTTTAGATAATAGTAGTTTAGCAAGAATTCATGGAGTAATGTTTTATGTTGCAGTGGCTATAGACCTAATAGTCCATCACATCTGGGATATTTTGCACGGGAACTCGAACGGCGTAAGAATGGTGTCTGAAAACGGCTCTGCCACCAAAATCTCTCGATAAGATACTCGAGATACACTTGTTACCTAATATTCCACTAGCTGTGTACATGTTCTGAGTTTATGTTAAGAACGTTCTTTTGTATAAGGACCAAAAACGTAATTTGTTAATTATACCAAAACGGGCGAAAGAAGTTCAATTAAATGACCGCATAAGAGACTGGCAAAGCAATGCACACGAGGTAAATCGGTGGGAGGGAAAACAATACAAAAAAAAAATATATATAATAACAATGTGAATATATAAGAAACACTTAACTAATCGCAGCTATTATGGATTAGCAGCAAAGCCAAATATAATATATATATTTTATACAATAACCTTAATAATTTAAACTTTACTAAAAAATATTAACAATACAGGAATGAAAAAAAATATAATGACATAACGCACTATTGAATGCATTTAGGCGTGATCGACTTTGTAATTGAATGTATGTAGTTAAAAAGACGTTAGTGATTTGTATAGAATGTATGAAGAAGAAGAAAAAAAAAACGAGATTTAACACACCCTCTTTGTTGTATATTAATACTACATGTTTTTCTTTTCATGAGGAATTATTTTTTATTTTGGTATGTGTTTATATATGTATACAAATAAATTTGTTAATTTGTTTTCTTTCGACTTCTACGTTGGTTTCATGTATATCAAATGAAACCCGTTAATGTTCAGTGCTGTGAAATAATAATAAAAAAAAAAAGAATATGAAAGGTGAAGGGTTTCCTATTAACGATTAATAGACTGAACGATTTTTATCAGAGATTAACAGACTCGAAATTTGAACGTTACACTTTATAGCTGATATAAATTAAATTGAAGCCATGTGCCTCGAATCGTTAATTCATTGCCTGATTCCTTGATCCACTTGCGTTTCGTGCCATCAAATATCATTGATTGCTTTGCTGGTTGCAAATCGTAGTGTGTAGTCTCGAAATTGCATATTTACATGTCATTGTTTATTGAATGCAAGTCATCCACGTCAACATTTATATTTAGTATTAATATATAAAATATTATATATTAAATTGATTGTATGTGCATTATAATAGAGAAGTGAGCAACCGTTTCACTCGCCACTAATTTTACGATACATTAAAATCAATACCATGTATTATAGATATATCAATTTACATAATATTTATACTATTTAATATAAAATTACTATTTTTCCTATCTTTAGAACCATACAATATTTATAATAATATCCATTACAAAATGGAGCTATATTTTTTTTCGATAAACTTAGTAAAGATTAGCACTTTTAGTCTCTATTGTACATAACTCAGACCACTACATTTTTCACTAAACTTCCAAGGAAAATTATCTTGTAAATGTTTTAACAATTGATCATTATCAGTGTGAATATGTATAAAACAAACTGTAGTTTATCTGAACTACCATTCATCCCTTTTCTGAACACTATATAAAACTCCTATAATGCAGCGGTTTCCAAACTGGGAGGCGCGGACTATAGCCAGGGAAGGCGCCAACATTTTTTAATAAATATTAACAAATATTTTTCGGGAGGCGCCGAAAAAAAAATCGGGGAGGCGTAGTAGCATAAAGGTTGGAAACCGCTGCTATAATTGTGGTCATTGTGGAGTCTCAGTTGTAGGAATTAAATAATTCAATTGGTTTTACATAACTTTATTCGTTACTTTGTCTTTTGCTGAGACTATGCTCGTCTTAGGTTTTTATGAGACTGCTCATCATATTAAGGTTTTACTGAGACTCTGTCAGTTTTTGAAGGTTTTACTGAGACTAATTCTAAATACTTATTGTACTTACAAAGTTAATTCTTATTAATACGGGGTGGGAGTAGGGCTTGTATATATTGACGATTTAGCGTTCCCACGGGATTCGGCCGTGTTTATTAGAAGACCGGGACAAAATCCTATGCATTTGTTTATATGAAAAAGATGATCGATTACGATTGTACGTGTAACGATCATTATGTGTTTATAATAAGGACTTGAATTCTTAGTAAAGGTATAGGAGTATCGATGGGAATGTTTACCAACCGGGATCACGGTAGAGATTCATTTATGCTGATGTATATGTTTATATAATAATGCGACTAAGAGTCGGCCTGGATGTCTCTAGTTCGTTAATACACTATATTAATAATAACAATTATAATAATAATGTTTGGACACAACAATATAACGCGAAACAAAAATTGTGATAACTTTCTTATTAACGTGGTTCTTCTATAATGTTGTTTCTATAGAATACAACTTAATTAGTTCTAAAAATATTACAGAAAGAGACGTAAGAATCTGAAGTTCACATTAATAATAATTGATACATCTACTGAAACAATGACGGATTAAATCAACGAGGCCCCAAATCTTAAAAAGGGGCCACAAGAACTTTAATACGGTCCTTCATTGTTTTCACTATTGCCTAGGGCCCACAAAAGATATGAATTAGAAATATTTAGAGGGACAAAAAAAATAATTGCGCCTGGTCATATATATAGACGAAAATGTGAATGCTTGATAATATTAATTTGAATGTTGTTAAAAAGAGGACTTGGGTAAATAATTATAATTAGGTTTCCATAGAACGTGGTACGAATTAATTTGAATTGTACTAATTCTGATTTTCTTATAATGCAATTTACACATAACGCTGTAGTTTCCACATAACTTAGTGCAAATTAATCTCATTTGTACTAACTTGCATATAATGCGGTACCAATTAATTGCGTTGACTGTATCAAAAACATTCTATTATTTAATTAACATTTAACCTTGTATATTATTTTGTTTTTCAATGATAACATATTATTTTTATTTAAAATAGACTGCATAAAAAAATAATAGTTTAATAAAGAATGTGTGTAATAGTTCTGACAAAATTATATGCACTCGATATTTTGTATTTTCGATATAAACTTGTAATTGCCTTCACGAGGTTTTGAATTAAACCTTAATTTATAGTTTCTTATTAATATTCGAAGATTTCGTTCAATTATTTGTGCCCAAATCGATTTTCATATAACTTTAGTAAGTCAATTTTTCTTGTGTACATTTTTCAATTACAACATTCTTTCACATCTTCTTCTAAGGTTAATCCATGTTAATATTAAATATTTTTTGAGTACACTGGACAACAAAAATATCGCTTCATGGTAAACGTGCTAATTTAGATCAGTTTATTCCAATTTGCAGTTTTTTCAAGTTCATTGATCTTTTGCTGCGAGACACTTGCTGAGTTATATTTCAATGCTAATATTGTAGTTAATATGAATATCTTCCTATTTTATCATTATTTGTGGTTTAATTGATTTCCATAAATATCTTCTCTGACGGTCCAAGCAGATAAAATGAATGAAATAACACACTTAGCAATTTGTTGCTCAATTTATTATTTTTGTTGTACGTTGATGTTTAACAAACCTTGGTTTACAAATATAAATAGAATTTACTATCATCAGCGCTCATTCAACGTACATTCTATTATACGTACATAATTATTTAAGACCCTCTAAACCCAAAACTTGCTAAAAACAATATTATTCCAGTTACCGGTTAAATTAGGATTGGCGGTTGAGAAACGCTACGTTAAATTAACAAACATTCGTTCAAAAGTACATGTCAATTTCCGTCTTTGACTTATGTTCAATTAAATAATAATATTGAAGTCTGTTGGCGCCTGGATCAAAAGATGTGATACGAAAGTAGTGAGTTTGAAACTAAGATCAATTTAAAAACAATACTGAGGCTGTAATCGAAAAGGTGGCAGAAATAAGACCGTAATAACATTTAAACATGTACGCAGATACAAGCATGTGATGCCTGCATCCGATGAAAAGATGTACGTTCGTATAAACGTCAAGTATGTTCGTGCGAACGAAGGGATATAATAATCATATTTAATTAATTAGTTTACAGCAGTAGTACCGAAACTTTTTCGGTTTATGAGATTATAAGCAACTAATTATATACTATAGTTTCTAATGTATTGTATTGTTTCAGTGGCCATCGATCTGATTGTACAACACATCAAAGACTTCCTTACCAACCGGCAGGAAGAGATAATCGTGGAAACTGCGAGCAATAACTCAACGCCATCGCACGTTCGCCGCGCGGCCATCAACGAAGGAGGACAATTCAAAAGGCCGCACTAAGAAGTCTGTAGTTGTGGACGAAGCGCGCGCCTTACATTTTTAAGTATTATCATTCAAGAGAAATAAGAGGAAATAGTTTCAGAATTTAGTTACCGCAATACTCCCAAAGATCATCATCTCTATAAATCCAAGAATGCTTTCATCATGCTAGGCGTAAAACAGTCAAAACCAAAGTTTACATATAGTTTACGTATATGTATAGATTATATTTATTTATGCACAAATGTGTAAGGGGATCCACGGGATCCGAAAAAGTTTAACTTTTGTTTTCTACAGTTAGGATTGTTACGTATCAAAAGGAATATGCTTTTCTGAGTGTCGGTTATTTTTTTGTTTTGTCACGAGTTTATAATAATTACGGTTTACTATTTTTAGAGAGTTACGTTTTAACAAAACAAAAAATGATGGTTGTTATTGAGAGTTTTTAATGAGACGTTTAGAAGAAAAAGCAGAAAAAAAGAAATGAAATAAAATAAAAGAGAATATTTTTTATTAACTTAGATCATAATTATCTGTAAAAATTAAATTAGTATAGAAGGATAATTAACTTGCTGATTCACTGGTAATACAACTCAATATTCATGCCATCATGGATTTCATCTGGTTTTAAAGAGTTAAGGAAAAAAAGAAAGTAATAACAATCATTTGGAACACTGTGCTTTTACAATAGGCGTTAATATGTAGGACAGAATTGATATTCTCTAGGAACATGTTTGATCTCTCGTAATGCAATAATAAATAATATTAATAAAAAAGGATACAATCTTGAAGCTGTATGTGATCTTTGAATGTTGTGTACCATTTCTTGAGGACGATTTTGTCCCACTTTGTGCCAGTCTGAGCGGCGATTAACTTCTTCAAATCTCCTACTGTATCATCAGGGTTGCACTTCACCCTAACCTTCTTACCAAGACGATCGTTGCAGGTGATTTCCAACATCTTTACTGGTAATGCAATAAGTAATTAGTGGAAAGAACGTTAAAATTAAAAATGTCTTACCTTTTAATATCGAATTTAATAATTATTACGTTTAAGTTCGTTGGATGTAAATCGGAACAAATAAACAATTGCTCCTAACCTCAATAATTGACAACCAGCAATCTAGTTTAAAGGATAATTTAGGTAGATGGCGCCAATGTATTACAATTTATTAATAATTGGCGCTCAACTCTATTAATTCCTATTAGTAAAATTATTTTTTCTATATAATTTATCTTCTTTTCGTATAATAATAATATAAAACATATCCACTTCTTCACATTTTTTTTAAATATTTCTTAATTATTACCGAACGAAATTTGTTCTTAAAGGTTGTTCGTAAACCGAAACTGTTTCGAATATATACTTCTAAATCAGTAATTCATGTATAAAAATAATAATAATTTTTGACTTCAGCCTACCTATGTTTGTCGTAGACAACAATGATACCATATGGACTTAAAAAGTGTAATATTTTGGACTGAAAAACTTCGTTCAAGGCTGTTCGAAATCCGAAACTATTTTCCCAATAAGAATATATGTAAAATGGTTATAATCTATAAATTGTACGTTTATAAAAGTCATTCATTCATTAAATCGTATGCAAAAACAATAGCAATCATTACCTGACGTCAACATATCCAAGTTTGTCGTAGACAACAATGATACCATATGGATTTAAAAAGTGCATTATTTTATAGAAAACATCAACAAGAATCCAGTGCCGTCAATTATCTAAATTATATTTTAACAGTATACAATATGTAATCAAAATATAACGTATTGTAAATAAAAACTAAGTTCGGATCTGACAAAAACTGAATGAAAACAATAGCGAATACTGATAACGAGTTTTTTTCTCTCTAAATGTTCGAAATTCCGTCTGAGAATGATAGGATTCGAACGAAATCATCATAAATTTACATACGTTGTCCCACATTCGTATTCCATATAAAAAAAACAAATTTCACTTTCTTAAAACGAAAAATACAATATTGCTGGACATTAAAAAAAAAGTTGCACAGTTGTAAGCACGTTATCACATCCTTTCTGTTTATAGGTCATAAGCAAAGGTCATTTTTTTTTAGTTTTCCGTAAAACATACACGTATTAATTTATGATGCAGTCATTGATAACTTTGGAAAATACATTTTCATATTCAATGAAAATTGATATGACTTTCAATGAATATAAAAGTTAATATGCAATAAAATTGATTTTTATAAACAATTAATTAATACTATGAGAGTAATCAAAATTGAAAATAAGAAATTAAATTCTTTTTTTTTATTGTCTGTGAAATTGTAATTAAAAACCAATATTAATTAGATAATTGTTACAAAATAAAATATATATTATATAATTGTTCGTGGGATACCTGCAGTAATAATATTAGATTCAAAATGAAAGCTAAAAAATAAACAAATTTGCAATTCAAATATCTATAATTCTCGTATTTTACAAATTATTATATCATAATTTTCAATCATTTTTGGAATCATCAAAAGCTATATTATACGACGTAATCGCGTTGACCTTAAACCTAAAGATATTTTTTTTTGGCACATTTCGATTCTAAAAATATGAAAATTAGGAGAATAAAACAAGGACATTGTGCGTGTACAAATAGTGTTTTCAATTGATATTATTTTTGTGTTTTTTATTACATCTTTCTTTAATCTGAATTAAGTGTAAGTAAGTACAATGAGTAAAATTCAAATTGTAGATTCATGATATAACTACGTATGTTTCTGGTAGTTTCTTCTATAAAATTGTTTGGAAGTGTATAAATGTACAAATTTTATCCATCTTGTTAAGTGATTTATTGTAATATTTTCGATTAAAATTCTCATAATAATAAAAATGTACTAATAATTTTATAAAATGAAACTGTTCAGTTAAGCAGACTCAACCAATAAAGTTTTGATGAAATATTTGAAGTAGTAAAAACAATAGATTGTAATAAAAAAAAGAAAAAGGTAAATCAATGAAGCATTGAATGTAATGTGCCACATAATTTAGATACGTTATCTACATAGTCGTTTCGATGATCGTAAGATAAATTAGTTTAAATCCTGTTTCAAGGAACAAATAAATTGCGACTAGCGTGCTGAAGAAAAATACAAAAAGCTGTAAACATTCTTGTAGTTTGTATGAATGTACGTAAAATTGAAAGTAAAATATATGCTAAATTCACTGATAAGACGTAGTTAATCATTGGTATGCATATTATGTTTATAAATGCAGATAACAGATTTCGTATTTGAACATCTGCGATCTTTAATACTTTGGCTTTGTCATGTTCAATCAAAAAAATATTAATCATATTAGTATTTGCAATTTGATCTAAATGTAAATATAATTTTTGCACATAGTGTACCACCTTTTGAATATGCCTAGTGCGGTATTATTTTCAATTTCTAGATAATGTAGTGGAATGAGGAATTACCATTAAATTTGGTTGGTATGTCAAGAGATGAATCTTGATAGTTCATACCATCTGAGTTATCTGATTCAGTTGTCTAAAAAATTGTTAGATTTAGGAATTTATGGAGACTCAAAGAGTTAAAAAACAGTAACCAAATAGTATAGCAGTTAACGAAATGAAATCCGTGCATATCACATTCACCCTAAAAAAAGACACTTGTCCAACTGTAAGTCTTAATGGACAAGTTCTTCCCAAAGCAACCAGTAAATCAAACATACAAATTATACAAAAGTTTCAATCAAAATTCCTAAGAAATATTATTAGGGCTCCATGGTTCGTCAGTAATAAACAAATACACGAAGATCTTCATATAGATATGGTCGAGGATACAATACAAACATTTAGTAGTAGATACCAAGATAGACTGGAGTCACATACTAATGACTCGACAACAGTGAAACTGCAAACAGGCTGAAGCGTTGCAAACCACTAGATTAGGTATATAGATTTAAGTAATTATTAATGTTCAAATCATCGTAATGGTAACTATCCACCGGGAAAGATTACCTACCTAATGTCAACCGCGATCTTAAATTTACTCAATGTTAACATTGATAAACAGATAGTGAATGAAATTATACGATATAAAAAAATACTTATCGCTGTAGTTGTTTTTAGTACTTAGGGTTATTTTGAAACAATGTGAATCAACTGAAATATATAGTAACTTATTTTTTATAAATTGTCTAAAAGTTAAGTTATCGAAAATATAATATATACAATAATAACGTATTGTTTCCAAGCAAACACAAACACCCATGTTTTATTTTTACTGACCTTTTCAAAATTCTCTTCACTGGATTTTTTTTATAAATTTCTGTAGAAAAAAAGAAGAAAAATCTCACTACATATTACATACATATTAAACATAGTTAAGATTATTGATTATCTGACAGTTTATGATCTGACAGAACGGTTTTTTTTTGTGCAGTTTTAAAGTTTTAAAATAATATTGATAAAGTTTATCAAAAGACAAATCTATTGCCCGAAACAAATAATTTTCTTTAAATAGAACAAGCTAATAATTAATGATTTTTGCTTTTCTTACTATTTTATTTTTGATTAAATTTCACTATTCCATTATATTTTATAATTCAGATATATTTTCAATATTAAGCATTAATTTATATTTTGGAAGTAAATCCAAAACCGCAATATGTGAGGAATTGCTTTATATGAAAATTATTCTATGCAAATGTAATGAGATAAAATGTAGTTTACATTCTTGAACGTTAACGCAACCATTGCTACTTCGTTTTTTTATTTAACTTATGAAATTAAATTAGAATACAAAAGGGTCGTAATTATAGAGGACATGCCTAAACATATTTTAAGCGAAGTTTAAATAGAAAATTTTTATAACTTGAGTGTTTGTAAATATGCCTAAGAATAAAAAAATAACTGTAAAAATATACTAAATACAAGAATTTAAGTCTAACTTCTACGTTTGTTTTGCGAATAAATCAGTTGTAAATGTCAATGTCAGAATGTTCTTTAGATATTGTAATCATCATATTGATTATGATGTAAAGTTATTTGTTCTCGTTTTTATTTTCTTTTTAATCTGATTAAGAATCCTGCAGTATATCTAGATATAATGTCACAGGGAACTTTTAATAGAAATACTTTAAAACTTGTGTAGAGTACATCTATTGCGGTCTTTGTAAATATATAATTATTAGTGAACTTTTAACTTCAAATTTAAAGAAAATTTAAGGATTTAAGTATATCATCAAATTTATCCCTTAGGTTGCGAGGGTTAAAACTTGGGTATTTTGACTTTTAAATGTCAAAGTCTGAATGGGATAATAGATTGATGTTGGTGGAGTGTACAGCTCTGGCACTGTAAATAGTAGACGGACTTTTTTGAATTTTCCGCGTGCGCCCAATGAGCGGGCAGCCGCGGAAAACTGGAGCTCGGCTCTCTTTTGCGGATGGAATTTGGAAGATCCATCATCAAGTTTAACTTTCACTGAGAAGCCAACTTTCGAATGCATTCGAAATGAATTTTAATAACATTTGGGTGACGTGAACGGCGCTGCTCTCGCCGCCGCGCTTGTAACGTTGTACAGGATTGTACAGTCAGTGAAAAATCAAGTGTCTGCGTGGACTGTGGACTTAGAGCATTAGAGTCGAGAGTTGTAGCAGCGTTAGCAGTAGTCGTTCCAGTGTGTGTGTCGTGTTTTTCGAAGCCGATTGCGATCGAGTGTTGTCTACAGTCGTCGTCGATCCTCTGAAACGAAGTCGAAAAAGGATCCGAAACTGAATCTGAACGACCCTCCACGATGAACATCCCCAACGAGTACATCTCCAATGCAGAAGACATAGCCGATCAGGTGCGACAACGTCTCCCCCATACAACTTTTCATACAGACTTCAAATTCGAGAAAAATTCAAAACCTTAAATTGTCACGTCACCCGAAAAAAAAAAACGTCTGCTCCTCGCATAACGCCGAATTCTGAAATTGCACAAGCAACAGGTTCAACAATCACACAACCATAAGGATTTACAGACCCTCAAAAAATACCCCTTTTGTAGGTTATAATATCCCTTTAATTTATCCCATATGTCACAAAAATTTTGACAAATCTGGTAAACAGTTGACTCTCACTCAATGCCCCACTAACCTTAATTCATTTAAATTCCATCTTTACATGTAATTAATGAAAGTCCAACTATTACTTGATTTACATTTTAGAAAAACAATTTAATTAATATCTGCAATCAATTTATTTTTCAGGCTATTAGAAAAGGCAAACATGTACTACCTACCATTGCCAGATTATGTCTTATTTCCACATTCTTGGAAGATGGTTTGCGCATGTGGTTCCAGTGGTCTGAGCAGAGGGAGTACATGAACATGTCATGGGGATGCGGAGTGTTCCTTGCCACAGTTTTTGTTTTCATCAATTTGGTTGGCCAGTTGGGAGGATGTGTTATGGTCATTGTCAGATTCAAAGTTTCCATCGCCTGCAGCGTGCTCTTCTTCATCGTCGTCCTGCAAACCTTGGCCTACAGCATACTCTGGGATTTCCAGTTTCTCTTAAGGAATCTGGCACTTATCGGCGCTCTTCTCCTTGTTCTCGCTGAGAGCCATGCTGAAGCCAAGAGTCTTTTCGCAGGCGTCCCATCCCTGGGCGACAACAAACCTAAGAACTACATGCAATTGACTGGCAGAATTCTGTTGGCGTTCATGTTTATCACCATCATCCGATTGGAATTCAACTTCATTCAAGTAACTGACGTGAAACAATTATTAATTACTTTAAATTACATTTTGTTATTTTTAGCTCTTCATTAACTTGCTGGGAGCAGCTTTGATGGTTCTAGTCACAATTGGCTACAAGACGAAATTATCCGCACTGATTTTGGTGCTCTTGCTCACCTTGCTGAATTTCTACTACAACGCCTGGTGGTACATTCCCGAGTACAAGCCTTTAAGAGATTTCCTCAAATACGATTTCTTCCAAGTAAACAACATCATGAAACCCTATTCATATTATGTATTAATCATTGCTTTCATTTTAGACTCTCTCTGTAATTGGTGGACTCCTGATGATCGTAAATTTGGGACCCGGAGGCGTTTCTATGGACGAACACAAGAAACGTTGGTAATCCGCGTGTGTCATTCCTCCCTTTGGACATTTTAGTGTTTTACTTTGGGTCTTAAATGAAAACAATTATCATTATTACTATCTATTTTTTTTTTAATTTAAACGATTTTAAATAGTTACTAAATATCATATAACTGACTGAACAGGTATAACAGACAAGATTTGATTAAGCTTAAAACCCTTCCACTTCATCTATAGTATTCTTACAGAAAATTATAAAGCTACTATTATTATTATTTTTTGGATTGTCTTGTGCAATTTGTATTTAAAAGGAAAACAACATTTGTAAGCAATTTGCATTGTCTGAAAGTATATATTGTATAGCACAAATTTATTATTGACATGTTGTTTTCTTCGTAAACGAAGTGAGCATTTTTTTTTGTTAATTTTTTAATATGATAAATCAGATTTATATATTATATTTTTTAATTTCTCTTGTTATTATTTGTCTTTTCACATTTCAGTATGTATAATTTTTTTGATACATATTTATATATGGATATACATACAAAATTAGAAATGTATATTTTTCAAGATCGCAGTATTTTCCCGTGTACATTCTATTCTAATCGCTCATGTGTTTCGCCTTTCTATTGTTTGGGAAACTTATTGCTTTGTTGGAAGAAATATATTATTTTTTTACATAATGGTACATTTCCAAAGCACAGATTGTTCAATAAATTGTATCATATTTGCTTTGTTGTCGATGTATTATTATTATTATTTTTGACTTGCCGCGTCAACCTTTTTAATGGCTTGATTCGAAAATAATGACGCACTTGGCAACAGCATTACCAAAACATTTACGAACAAGGAATTTAATCTCACCATTCTTATTTTAACTCATAATTTGCGTTTTAACAAATCAAAACAAGAAAGTCACACATCGTAATTGCAGAAGTATAATCATTTTTATCAGTACGGCGAAAGTTATCAGTTTTCTGTAAATCAACTATAATGGTCTTCTTGTAAAGATTCCTTTCTAAACTGGAATGAAGTGAAAGACTACAATTCCAATCTTCCTACGACATACCTAAAATAATTGGAACACAAAATTAAATCTGACGTTTTACAAATTATGAACACAATTATACGCAGTAATGAAACCACTTATCAATAAAACAAAAACAGATTCACAGACATTCATAGATTCAGATAGTAACCATAACATACATCTAGATCAGGGCTCGGCAACCTGAGACTCCGGAGCCGTCTGCGGTTTTCTTAATGAGAAATTACGGACGCAGCTTCACAGTCAAAAAATAAACTCAACTAATCCATCTTGGGTTGATTCTGTACCAAATAATGTTAGAATGCTGATTAGGCACGAAAATAATTGAATTAAAATTCAAGTATACATATTTGACACCCATCCAACCACTTCCCCTCTTATCATCTACTTAACTTGTATCCCAAACAGTGTTAGCCCAGGTTAACGACCGACCGAAAATTCACTATTCTTTTTGTTTAAAGAGGCAATATCTTAAAAAATGATTCTTTGCATCAGAAAGGTTGCTACTAAAGATTATATGAGAAAGAAATGAACTCTGTTGAAGAATCTGTAAATATATGTATACTTCAAATGCCTGTCAAGGAGAGCTTAATAAGAATATGGGTATGGCAGTCATTTATGATCACGGTATAATCTAATACCATCTCATTTCTTCTGTATGGAATCTGCTCATCATTTTATATTTACTAGTTTTACGACCTTATGCACTACTCAATGGTACCTAGAAAATCAATACACTGTAGTTTCAAGTTGCATAAGCTAATTTGATTTCAGAACAAAAAGGTTTTTTTAAGATAATTCAGAAATATCTTTAAATGTTTTTGTATATGGATTTACAAAATTAGAAATATATTTTTTTAAGGAACTTATTACTTTATTGGAAGAAAAATGTGTGTTTATACATAATGATACACTTCCAAAGCGTCGATTATTATCAATAAATCGGATCAAATAAATATTTGCTAAACTTATAAAATCTTCTACTTTGGTTTATTCTCGACGAATTCTTTAACTTGTTGCGCTAATTTCTTGTAAACAATGGCTTCATTGCAGTTCGGTTTACCGATGATTATAGGTACACCTTTGTCGCTGCTACTGTTAATTTCCTTCTCTAAGGGTATATGCTGCAGAATCTGCGTCTCGAACTCTTCGGCGAGATCATCAACACCGTTACCAAACAATTGGATATTCGAGCGACAAGCAGGACACTTAATGCTGCTCATGTTTTCCACTATTCCAATAATGGGTATCTTCATTTTCTCAAACATTACACCGCCTCTTCGCGTGACTTGGATCGAAGCAGACTGAGGCGTCGTGACCAGAATTGCTCCAGTTATTGGCAAGTTCTGAAGAAGCGTTAAATGGGTATCTCCAGTGCCCGGAGGTGTATCTACTATCAAATAGTCTGTAGGACCCCATTCCACTTGCCTCATAAGACGCTCCAACGCCTGCATAACCATCAACCCTCTCCATATCAACGCTGCGTTTTCTGACATCAAGAACCCCATGGACATGCTAAAATCTATGCATTTAATCATTTGTTAGAATTCGCTCAGAGATTCAGACCAACCATTTAACGCCATAGTTAACTAATGGTTCCATTAAATTTTTATCATTGAGAATAGGAGTATCATCCAGGTTCATCATCAAAGGAACTGATGGACCAAACACATCAGCATCCAACAAACCTACATTCTTCTCAGGAAATTCCACCTTCATGGCAGCTGCCAGATTCACTAAGAAATAATCATTTAATTTAATAAGTTTGCACAAATAATAAAATATGAACCAGCAGTGGTTGATTTCCCAACACCCCCTTTTCCAGATGATACCAATATGATATCTTTGACATTTGGTATAGGTTTGAGCTTTGGCAGTCCCTTAGCCATCATCTGCGCCCTCCTCTTTTCCAAATCAGCCTTTTTGGCTTCATTGTGTGCGAGTCTATTAACCTAAAACAAAGATTTCCTACAATCAGTAACCTATAAAATCATTAGCATAAGAACAACAATAATATTTACATTTTTAATGATGTTTGAACAATTTCTGCTGAATTGTCTAAAAGTAGAATACATATTCGTTGTCGACGTCTTAAAATAACATTTATTTCGGCAGACCTTCAGACACTACAACTCATTTAAATGCAACTAACTATTACACAACTTTTATTTAACATCATTATATTAAAGATTACTCAATATATGTAAATAATACAACAAGAACGTATAAACTTAATTAAATGCGTATTCAATTGTTCTTAAATTATTACAATAATATGTTGATTATCAAAAAAAACTAATAAGCGCAAATTTTAACAAATATAAATTCTTATTAAAATGTACGATCATATTTAAATGTAAATTAAAAACAAATTTTATGTTTAAAAAAATTAAGAGAAAATCATATGGTTACCACATAGTGAAAACTTGGTTGCCTGACAATTTAAATGTCATGTTGAAAGTGTGTCAAAAAGATATTTACTTTTTATCGTAAACATTATTTTTTCGTTTTACGGCTCTTCCGTGCAGTTTAAATTTGTTAACTTGCTGAATTCTGCGGAAACATTTACTTTGTTTTACAGTATGCTTTCTGAATTGAGGGCATGATGGGTTACAAAGCGGCTATCCAAGTTTTAAAGTGCGTGTACACATACCTCTATTTTTTTTTGGATTCTTCTATTCTATTGCAATTGCAGGAAGGCAGATCTCCTGAAAGCCAAGGTTACCAGGAAATGCGACCTGTTGAATGATTTGGAGGCATGGACTGATCAGCAACAGTTGCAGACCATATACCATCAGGTGCTGGTTCTCGACTTGGAGTATGCTCTGGATAAAAAAGTTGAGCAAGAACTGTGGACATTGGGATTTAAAAACCACATCTCCACATTACAAGAACAGGCCAGAGATAAAAAGGTATTTCTGATAAGATATTATTGGAGAATCTTTTTATTTATGTGATTGTATTGCAGAATCCACGCCGAGCAGAGGCTCAGGCATTACTATCTTGGTGTTTAGAAGCAGCTTCCGGTTTTTATTTGACACTCCTGCAGGAGTTGTGCTCAACCTATGACTTGGATCTGCCATTTAGGAAGAGTGTGATTTCATTTGGTAAACTGAAGAGCCATAATTTCAATGAGCCCAGTAACATACCACAATCATCCTCATGCTTGTACATCTGTCAGTACTGCTTGATTCATTTAGGAGATATTGCTAGATACAGAAATGAGAAACAGCAAGCAGAGAGTTTTTATAAGTACATATTATTTACATGTATTTAAGTTACATTTATTTATTTTTTCACATTTTTAGGCATGCTATATTGGTTAGTCCATTTAGTGGACACCCATATAATCAGTTAGCTTTGCTTGAGGCTAGTGAAGGTGACAAGTTATCAACCGTTTTTTACTACGTTAGAGGTATAGCTTTAAAGAGCCCTTTTCCCGCGGCCTCCACCAATTTGAGTAGGACTTTAGCAGCGTCCTTAGACAAAGACGAGTAACTAATGCATAATATCTACACCGTGACAATATCCTCATATCTTTTAATTACAGACCTATGTTCGAGATGCAACCTAAGATGACGGTTAACGAATTTATACGCGTTTTCCTCAGGGCACATTCACTTCTCCACACAGACTACGATTTGATACAGGCTAGGATTTGCGTAGAGAGTATCACGGCAGCTCTTACGGCTTTAATCGCAACCCAAAGTTTCACAACTGATAGTCTTGTCAAGATGACTGTAATCAACTTGTATGCTTTGAAACACACCGTCGGTGATGATGTCATGAAGTGCGAAGATTTAACCGAAGACGAGAGACAAGTCAGAGCCTTAATTTTGGATCTGCTTGCTGGTTCTTTAAGTGCTTTTTTGTTACCTGTTTACACGTTGAAAGCGGACCAAAGTATCTTAAGTTATTACGCCTTACCAGCAAGTAATTCATTCATTAAATCTAATTGATTATTATTTTTTTACTTTACCTTTGTTTTAGTACGTTTGATTTTGATGTGGATTCAAAAAGAACCGCAAGTGTTGACCGATCCCGTTTTCGCTAAACGCCTGCAGATTTGGCCTGGATGTTGTAAGCTTTTGAACACTCTGCAAAATCACATTAAGGATGACAATTACGATAAGTGTAAGTTGATACTAACATTAATATAACATAGTTATATTTACTTTTTATTAACATAATCAACTTCAAGTAACTTACAAATCAAAATTATTATTGATGTTTATAGGTATCTTTATTGTAATATTAATATATTTTTTAGATGATAAAGTACCATTGTCATATGACAAAGAGTTACGTGGATTTGTACCATTGAGTGATTCTCTTGATGTATATGATTATGCTTCTGAGCCGCTTCCTGACGAGTTTGAAATTCATTTGAGAGCAAAACGATTACTAGCTTTCGGCCAATGGATAACTACTTATGATGTGAACGGAAGCAAATTGATGATATGGTAAGGTTATTGAATCAAAATTGGTTTTTGACTTACTTAAATCGATTGTTGTTTCAGTTCCGAGGAAGGTAAACTGCTTCATTTTGAACCCGCATGCATTCAGCCGGATCCTACGATTCAGCTGTTAGAAGAAATGAAATCGTTCAAAGTGGAAGAGACGAAAAAAGTGCATGAGAAGAGAGTTGGGATTTTGAAGCCTCAAGGATCACTGGAGAAGTCCAGGGAAGAAAGAGTTCAGGTGAAGGGTTTGGAAGAGGATGTAGCAAGCGCGCAGAGAATGGATTCTAATAAATTAAAGCGCATCACGCAAAACGTGGCACTTCAATCGATCTACAAGAAGATAGAAGAGAACAAGCAGGTGAAATTTAGCGCTGAAACAACGGATAAAGATAAGTCGCCGAAATTGAAGAGGCATCCACAGGTTTCAATGCAACCACTGCCTCCATACATGCGCGGCATCGTCGAAAATACCCAGAACAAGGACTTCTTTTCCTACCCTCAGCAGCAACAGCAATCCCTTCCTCCTAATCCTATTTTCAATAATGATACGCTGAAACAGAAAATGCAGTTCCCACCACCGAACATGATGAATACAATGCCACCAAACTTCTCTTCGGAAAAGATGCCCACCTTCAACATGCCCCCGTCTTACAACAAAGAGGAGAGGCCGAATAATTGGTGGCCAAATCAACCGAATTTTCCGCAGAACGATTTTTACCGCCAACAGCCGCCTCCACCATTTCCTCCCCCCAATCACAACCACATCGACGTATTTAATCTATCGCCTTGGAGCAACAATAGCTACAACGCTTCAAATTCTAATAATCTATCGATGAGACAAGCCATGCTAAATGAAACTAAGAACAACAACGTAAGTATTCCATAAAAATACCAAATATTCTTTTAGAAACTCTTCGTTTTCTCTTTGTAGATCGTGAATAACGCTCCTGGTTATTCTTTGTTTAATCCAACAAGCTGGACTCCGAACCTTCCTGGACAATTGAGGACACCGAATCAACAGCAGCCGCCTCCTCCGAATCCTCAGTCGCATCACCATCAGTCTCTTTTCAGCGGTGGCAGTGGTCCGCAATCGCTTCAGCAGCTCCTAGAACAGCAGAATCAATTTCAGAAAGGCGATACTTGAGTAGTCCTTCAAACAGACGCACGATGAGACAAAAACCTCTTTCTTGGGGCACCAATTACCACTACATGCTTCGCATGCAAACCCGTAAACATATGCTATTTGTTCCATAAACACATAAATAAAATGAAATGCGTACTAGAACTTTATTGTAAATCAGGATCAAAAAGGAAGCCAAACAAAAATGAATAAATTATTTGTTCGAATCAGAAAAAATATAATTATCATAACGATTCTAACAATATAGTAAAGGATAAATTAACTAACTTAATTTATTTAGTTTTAAATTAACATATTTAGTTCTATCAATATTATTATTATTCATGAATATTTTCTCCATATCGCACGTACATTTACACAAATACCTCATCTCATGTTAAAGTCACATTTAAAAAAAAAGAAAAAAAAAAATGAAAGAAACTTTTATGTAAGTTGTTGTAATTTCATTTATTGGGTTTCGTTAACGTTTGCCATTATTGCATCCAAAGCTGGCCCGAAGTGGTGTCTTGAACGTCGAAGCTGCATTCTGCTGCAGCTGATATGCCAACGGGTGTATTTTGAAACCAAATAATCTTGGAATGAACTGATTTGTGGCACGCTTTGGTCTATATTCGGGATGCACCATGAAGAGCATATGTGGAAAGCCAGTTCCAAAGTATGCGCCGTCTGTGTGGTGGTGCCTTGATGATTTTGGAGTATACACGTCCATGCATTTTGGACAATACGATTTCACCATTGCTTCGCCAGGAACATCAGATAAACCTTGAGAAAAGAATATTATTAATGACAAAGATTATTTCGCGTTAGTTTAGAGTGTTTACCTAAAGGTAACATTGGTTGTGATTCACAGTACACTCTTGGACAGTGTCCGAAATCTCCTGCTTGGTATTTTTCTATCATTTGGGCGATACCTCGATTTGTTAAAATGTACCTGGCATGTATCAGACCATAAAGCATTTCTGCAGCTTGTTCTATTAAATCTGATTGATTAGGGTTATCATCCAATTCATCATCTTGTAAAATAAGTAATATCGATTAGTTCCTACTACCTGAATAATTACATCAATTCTATCATTACCCGGCTCTAAATCTAATATCATATCTAAGGCTTGTCTGTAGTGTGGTACTTGTTCATTTAGACCTGTTAAGTTGAATTTATCTTGTATGTAGTCCTCATCCACCTAAAACAGATTGAAACAATGATAGATAAATAGAGACAAAAGGGACAAAATAAAATAAAAAGGGATGCTTGGATGGAATTGGAGGTTAAGTTTCTGGTGTTAAGTGGTGTTTTCTCTGTGCTTTTGTTTGTTTGGGGTGCATGCAAAGTATGGATGATGGGTAAGTACCTCGCAGAAGAATTCATTTCCGCGTAATCCGCAAAACCATGAGATCCAAGAAACCTCCTCAGAACTGCTCATTTTCCTACAAAAACAAATCTCACGTTAAATCCGCACGCCTTCAACACACCCGGAAATAGACGCGCTGCGCCCTCCGACTCTAACCTCGACCGACACAAACAAAGGGGGCAAAGTAAACGATTCTAAATATTTACTACCTAAAACACTTAAAATCTTAGCAAAACCTAAGTTGTATATTGACGTTTTTTAAATGGCCAACCGAAACGTCACTCGGGGATCGGAGTTGGTTGCAACCTCGCACCAGGGCGGACAAGATAAAAAAATGCACTCGGTTTGGACGACGACGGGGACGGAGGGGCCTTTGCTAGGGCTGCGATCTGGACACGGACTGGACGCGTCTCTTTTTCACTATTTATCACACTAAAACTCTTGGTCAATTTACCTTTTTGTACCTTGATTAGCCACGCTTACGCTACTTCATCTACGCAAAAGGAATGCCCCCAACCAACGAGCACGCCATCTACTGCACATCAAAAAAAGAGCGCAATTTTCAAAAGTTTTCCGATTCTTCGTCAGCACAATTTTCCGACGACGTTTTCTTCAAAAAACTGAGAATTTTCCTGTGACTCCTCCGTCCGCTTTTCGTCCTATTTATATTTTACGTCAAATAATTGAATAAATACAGGATTATGCTATGCAATCGACAACTATGATCTGGCAACCATACTCACAATGGAGATATTTTTAAAATTGTGATACCAGCCGATCTTTGTTTACATTTTACACATTGAGAATCATTCTCAAACTAAATTTAAACTTGCTCATAATTTCTGATGTAAAATATTGATTAATCATATTTTGTATTCTGCTACAAACTTACATACTTACACGATGCAATATTATCAATATTCACTATAGACTTACACATAAATTTAAATTACAGTTTTAAAGATAACATTAATTTTACTTATAAATAAATCAACAAAACAATACTTAAATTATTGTAGTATATATCAGTGGTTCTCAACTTTTTGGTCCGCGACCCCCTTTGCACTTAAAAAAAATATGTGTAGAAAAACATTCCGTCCCGTTCGTCATCAATTTTTCTGCGGCGTACACTTTGAGAATCACTAGTATATATAACAAACATGATAGAAATATATCAATTTGTATCATGTATAACAACATCATTTAGCAAATAAATTGCTTTGAGTTTTATACCTAAGATAGCTTAAATACTTGTCATTAATATAATATCTATTACGAATACACAGTAACTACTAATATCAATAATACTATTTTAAAGACATATTTAACCTTTTAGTACATAATTTATAAGTAATTTAATATTTGAATTAGTTAAACTTTTGTCTATCATAGCATACATTGTGTATCTATATCAGGGGTTCCCAAACTTTTTTGGTTTGTGGCGCCCTTTATATAGTCAGTCAGTCAAAACATTGGTTTATATCAGGATGGATTTTATGTTTTTTGCTTTTCGTAGCGCTCCTGTAGTATAGCCGTGGGGCCCAGGGGCGCCACACTAAAGTTTTCTTTATTAGTTAAACTGTACCATTAAATATCCTTAAAAAAATGGATATTGGTATTTCAAAGACACAAATATAAAATTATATAATCAAATTATTTTCAATATCTGAATTACTTCGATGGACTTACTGTCATTTTAACGATTTTATAACAAACCAGAACACCTGCTTTAGCTATAGAAATGTATGATATCAGTTTTTTTTTTAAATTTTTATTCATATTATTAATGTGGATATCAGATTTTCCGTTTCGTTAGATTGGAAACCAAAGTTAACTGATAATATATATGATATATTATATGAAACTCAAAATATAAACTAATTTGTTTCTATTATATATTCTTTAGATCAGTGATTCTCAGACTTTTTAGTCCGTGACCCCCTTTTGGACATAAAAAGTATCTGCGACCCCCCCGAAGAATGGACATGTGTAGAAAAACAACCAAGATTGATCTGTCATTAATTTTTTGCGACTCCCCAAATAATTTACGCGGCCCACACTTTGAGAATCACTGCTTCAGATGACACTGTATAATATAAATCCAATCACTGTAGTTATAGGAATATACATAACATAATGATCATTCAAATATAAATTGAACTGCGTTTTATCAACAATTCATTGATTTATTAAATTACTTTTTAACTGGCACAAGTATAACCTAGCAGATTGCTGAAGGTAATCTAATCTATTTTAATCTAATGAGTATTTATGTACATTAGGAAATTGTACGATTCCGTGAAATATTTTGTTGTTGGCTATACATTAAAAAAAATGCAGAATCGATAGAGTAGAGAAAGTTTCTTAAATTATTTTATTTGTTTCCTGCGAACCAGTTTTCTTTAACAGGAAAAATAACGACTGTTTGCTGACAAAGGTAAATATTAAGAAATTTACTTTAATGATTTAATTAAGTGTATTTAAATTTATTAACTATTACGAAAAATAAGTCAAATATCTATATATAATATCATTCTATTAAACTAGCAGAAGATAAGACTTTAGTGTTATATGATACGTCTAAGTGAAATTAGTAGAAGAAGCTATGTAAATAATCTGTAGCAGATACTAAGTTAAACCTGGTAGCCAAATATTTTAGCTTTAGCATGAAGTATACATTATTTGTTAGATCTTCCTAGAAGTATTGATTAACTATAGAAAAAAAAAAGAATTTTAACTTTATAATGTTATAATTAATGTACAGTGGAAGTTTAAAATTATTGATAATTAAAAATAATCTATTTGAAATAAATTTGTTATTTATACAATTATAAAATAATTTATAAATAAACAAAAATGAATAAAATCTTAATAAATAAATGTGCTACTTTTATTAAGGTTAATTTTTTTATTGTTGCAATAAATATTATTATTAATTTTAAACATAAACAAACGTGCAGAAAACAGTCTTTGAAATGTACATAATTTTGTGTGTGTATGTGTAATAAAAAAAACTCAAGTTGAACTTATTTATGTAATCTTAATTTCGCAATTTGTATGTTACTTTATAATTTGCTACAACTATTGTTGTTGTTATTATAAAGAATATATTGCTAATACGTTGCACAATAATTTTATTTTCGCCGAAAACAATATCACTTAATCTAGTTTCAACGAGACAATTCAAAATAGATAATTGTGATGATTGATTAAAAAAAAATACCTTCCACTTTACTGAATCACGTTATGCTTTAATGAATAGAATTGATGACTCAATTAAACTGATAATACTTTATTATATAATTACGGTATTAATCAACACAATTGTATATAAATAATAATAGAAATTCAAATAAAGGACGTATTTCCGATTAATTATTGCTTTTGAATAAAAATTATGCGCCAAATTTCAGTGAAATGTTCTATAAGTACAGGTATTCCCCGACTTACGTACTCCCGGATTTACGAACAAAATTCTAAAACCTTGTTACAAATTAACTGTCCAAACAGTCTTTAATAAAATATAATATTTTTGGAAGTTGTACTATCAGCTTTGTTGCATTTGTTTCGTTTGTCGTTTTTTATTAAATAATTGTGATGTCTACATTGAAAATGATATGTGAGTATTTTGTTTATTTTAATCTATTTTTTCAAATTTATGCAGTTAGTAATACGGAATTTAACATATATAAAAGTAAAAACCATGATAAAGTGCGGTAAGATATGTATATTTTGAAATTTTTAAAATTCCACCGACATACTAACAAATTCGACTTACGAACAATCCTTTGGAACGGAACTAGTTCGTAAGTCGGGGGATACTTGTATATTACATAGAATTTGTTATACATAGTCTTATATTCATACATGCATATATTTATATATGAATCATCGAGTTGTAGCTAATTTCTCTAGTAATAATATTGAGGTCGGATTTTTACGTGCGTGTTAGTACGAAAAACCAAAAGAAAGTCACGTCCGCTGAACCATTACTATTCGAAACTCGAGACATCTTTGTTCAACCTCAGCTTTGAAAGGCTTTACACATCATACGCATGAAAGAGATTTTGTTTTCACAACTTTCTTTCAAAATTTAGTCCTCAAAGACATCTCGATATAATCAATTTATTAAATATATTAAATATTATATATAAATTTGCTACTTAATTTGAAAATGTTTAGTTACCTCAATCAATGTACAAGAATATTATGTTAGAATGTAAAGACTAGGAATGGTTTAATAATGCAAACAAACTATGATTGTCCCTTGATAGTTCAGTGTCATAGGTCTACCATTTTCTCTTAATTATTACAAATCTAATTCCACGCATCCATCAAATATACAAACGGATACTTGTTCGTGATTATTTAGAATAACTTGTGGAATATTCCGAATAACGATTACACAATTACGTATAGTTGCGTCTATTTTATCAACACTTAATAGCCTTCTTCCGCTAAAACTATCTTTATCTATTTTTTTAAATGGATACATTTTTGTATTATATAATTTAGTCTTAGTTGGTGGGTCGAAGGTAGTAAATAGTCTTACTTGGAGAATCCAGGGAAGAACACTTACTTCCTAATTATCTACTTAAGAGGAGAATGTAACTCTTAGTTCATAACTTGTAAAGTTGACTTCTCTATAAAAACACTGATATGTACAATAAAAATAATTAAAAATATTGCAGACTTCACAACGACATAACTACGAGTTAATCCATACTGTTTAAAGACAAGACAATGGATACAGCAAAATACTTGTCTTCTAATATTGAATTTATTTATTAAGTGACAGTCTTTCTTTGGATTTAAATATAGTATGAGACCCCCCAATGTATGAGAATATCTAAATATAATAAACAATAGTTGTTGGTACTTCTGACAAGTACCAGATTTGAGCTGATTGGAGCGATTGCGCCCAATCGGGCCCCGAAACACATCAAAATTTATATATTTAAAAATAGTACATGTTACAAAAATTAGTTTTAAAAACTTAACAACAATTTTGTGTGAGGTTTAAAAATATTGAAAAAGAAGAACTAAAAACATACAGCAGATTTAGAAATTGCTCTAACAGATTCTAAGATTAATGACACATCTATTGATATTGTGAAGCAGACAGTAATTTGTTATTCGAAGAAATGGAAGCTCTAAAATCTATTTTTTCGTCAAAATATTTCCGAAATCCATTTAAAATGTTTTAGTTTTTATGTGAAAAAGACAGATCTACGGCATTTTGAAACATATTAATTACTCTTCGAATATATTTAATACAATTTCAGTAAGCGTTGTTTCTGGAGAGAGGTCATTTTCTAGACTAAAACTTCGACTACCATGTCGATTGAGAGTCAAGCCAATTGGAATTTGATATTATTTTGGAAGTTTTTGCAGAACAAAAACTTTCGAACATAAAAAACTTCTCTTTTTAGGTTTATATTCAATAAAATTCAGTCACATTCGTTGATTTTATATTTGGTACAAGTTTTTTAATGTAGAAATTTATCTACCTTCATGACTTTTGATTTTTATAATTGGATTTTGTTTTAAATAAATATTTCAAATCTATATTTAATTATGTAAATTCTAACTGTAAATTAATTTTGATATTTCAAGTTTGAGGTGCGCTGCAAAAAAATCAATTGGGCCTCCCATTTATTGGATCCGGTCCTGCTTCTGAGAGACAATCCATGGGGTTGCGTAAAATATTTGGGGATCGCAAAAAATTAATGACAGATCAATTCTTGTTGTTTTTCTACACATACCCATTATACGGGAGGTCGCAGAAACTTTTTATGTACAAAAAGGGGTCGCGGACCAAAAAGTTTAAGAATCACTGGAGTAGTTTTATTTAAAGTAAACAAACTATGCTTGACATTACTGCATCTGGCATTTTATTGTAATATCAGATTATATGTATAAAATCTAAACTAATTTGTTACATAAAACTATTTTTGAATATTTTTTAATTTTTAAACGTTCATCAGTTCTAAATATTGACTAATTGTATTAAATATAAGTAATTAGACGATGCAAGTTAATTTGAAATACAATTGTCAATACACTTCAATTGATAGTTACATGATTCTGTACAGTTCTGCACCTGTTGTGTATTTTAATACAATCTGACCGTCAGATTGGTTAGATGAATACTCGGTAAATTCTAAATAACAAAAAAACTCTTGATAAAATGCTAAAAAAATATTAATTATTTTTACATTTACATTACCAGTAAACTAAATTACCTATCAAAACTATTTGGATTAGCATTTAACAATAAGCTACGATTGACGTATTATTAAAAGTTCTGATTTTTTATTTGGGTATTAAGTTATTTTCAAATAATTGAAAACTGCTCAGAACTAATTCTCAGAATATTTTTATTTGTTTATTTGAAAAATAATTATTGTATAATGTTTTATGATGTTTTTTGTTTACATAAATAATCATATGAATGCATTTTTGTAATTTCATGATTCATAAAACTTTTAACGCATTAAATAGATGACTCACTGAAATGTTAAATAGCTGAACAAAGAATTCTAGATACTATTTTGAGAAGAGAAAAAACTGGTAAAACGAGACAATAGATAACTGTAATCACAAAATGCTCGCGTGTTTAGTTTTCTTGTGCTCGTTTGTAAAGCAGATGTGAATGAGTCGAAGAGATTGCGTGCAAGTAAATCCATAAGGCCGGATGGAATGACAATTGTCTGCTTCGCGAAGAATGGAAATGTTTCCGCGTTCGAAGAGAATCTTTCGAGGACAGCAGCAGTGCAAAAGGAATACTGAATCGGCAAAACAAACAACAAAAAAATAAACGGAGGAGAGGTAACTTTCTCCTCGTGGTCGAAATGGAAGCGCGCCGTGTTCAGTCGCTCAACGTGCGCTCTTCAGGAGAACCAGTTTCGTATGTGCTCTGCAGAAAGTAACAATAACAACGACTGGTCCCCCTTCTCGAGTTAGGAACCAAAGAGAACGATTTGTAAACAAAGACCGAATGCGATACATCATATCCTTTAAAAAAAAACGGAGATTAACTTATTTTTCGTTGGTTTATCCAGAATCGTTATACATGTGGATAATAACAGAATATCGCATCATCAGTGAGATTTAAAACGCGATAATAGAAGTAAACAAGTGATGTTTTGCGTGGGCGGAGTGCAGTAGTGTATCGATTGACGGCTGAGGTCGTCGAATAGCGTTGAACCGTGCATCAGTCCACAGCCAGGTCTACCTGTTGCCCAGAAGGGCCGTAGTTTTCGAATTTCTCTCGTTCAGTGCTTCCAATATTTGCTCGCTTTCTCACTTCCACCCTTCGTCCGACAAAACCTTCCCTTCTTTGTTTTTCTTCCACTTTTTTTCCGGATTTTGCTTAAAATTCCTATGGAGTGCAGACGCTGAGGCGGGCGCCGCGACGTCGCCTCCTCTCCGAAGGGAATATCGTCCGGAATGGTTTTGTTGCGCGCCTACAAACTTTAGTTTTCACCCAAACACACACAAAGGATCATCATCAACATAGTGGCTCTGTCTACGACAATACGAATCGATTCCAATAAACAGATTACGAGTGAGTATTTCAATCATGATCATCATACGATTCCGAATGTTGATAGCAGCATGTTACAGACAATAAAACCGCTATTAAGAAAGCGATAAAAACTTGATATACTTTTGCAATCGAGCGTGTTTACAGCCCATTATTCAGTTTCTCGATTTCGAAACAATTCTTATATCGGAGTACTAGTCATCATCATTATAATAGACGAAATCGAATAAATCCATTTCTTGAATCAAACATTAAAAACAATCAATAATATTATTTTTTGTAAATTATTTTTGTCTAGTATATTTACTAAAAAAGATGTTTATTATTAAAAATATTATTATTTAATATTATAATTTAATGACTATTTAACACAACTTTTTTGTTGCAAAAATATCAGAAAAAAATGCATTAACAAATGGTAAATAAATATGAAAACAAATGTAAACAAAAAAATATTTATTGGCTGCTACATAAATTCTATCAGGAACAAAATGATTTTCATAAAAAAATAATTATATTTTGTTGAAAAAAAGTAATTAATTTTTAAACTAAATACATATCTTTTTAATAGGCGCCCCTATTATGCATGCGCCTGGAAGATAAACAACAATGATTGAAATGTTATTAAAACAAAGAAACTATAAAACCAGTTTGTGGTGTGATATGACAATACAACTGTGCAATGTCAATGATTAACAATTGGACATAAACAAAAGTATTAGAATTCTAAAGATATCGTTATTTTTTTTGTATTTCCATCCAGCGCTTCTCAAATCTATTGGTTTGCAGTGTTTCTCAAAATGTTGGCATTAAAAAAATTAAAGGACCTCTCGAAGGATGGTTATGTATAGAAAAACATATAAAAGCATACGGTCCCGTCTGTCATCAATCGCGACCCACATTTTGAGGATCATTGCAATAGTGGGTAGAGTTAAATTTATAATTGGTCGCGAAATGACAGCTTGTATTAAAAAAATGTATATCATAAATGATTGGATCGCAGAACAAGTACAAACAAATAATGGAAAGGTTGAGAATCCATGTTTCCAACAATAGTGATTGTATGTCTAAAGCAGCAGTCGCCGACCTTTTTAACCTTAACTTAACTCAAAATATTGAATCATGCGGACTACTACTAAATTCAGAATTTTTTAATTTGAAACACCAGGATTTTTTTCTCCATGAAAATAAGATTTTATAAGATCACATAAAGTGAAAATAGCAAAAATAAAAAGTAGAATCCGAATCAATTCCAGTCAATTCCGTTTAATTGGGACACCGGTTAATCGGGATAGTCACTTATTGGAAATGGGCTTTGGATAATTGCGGAATCGACTGCATATTCAAATTACTCTGCGGACCACCAACATTCTCTCGGTTGGCGACCGTTAATCTAAATCAGTAATTTCCAACGTGTGGTATCCCGGGGCTACGGGAAGAGTTTGATGGTTTTATAATCACGCGCGAAATCGAAATCTTATGGCGTTTGTTAGATACGAAAAAGATCAAGAAATTCATGTCGATTTTTTTTATTTCTCAGCTCATACAATAGGAGAAGATATTTTGAATTTATTTTATTTATATATTATTATTTTTAGTTTATGTTTTAGTCAAATATATTTTGATTATTATTAAAGTACAGTGGAACCTCGCTTAACGAGTTTAATCCGTTCCAAAATTTCCGGATTTTTATTCGTATAGTGAAACATATTCAAAAATACACATAATATGAAGTATCAGGCGCGCAATCCGGGACTTCTCTTCTCAACGTTACTCGTTATGCGAAACGTTGCTCGTTAAGCGAGTCATTTTTCGTACAATTCATTTTGCTCGTTATGCGAGGTTCCACTGTATTTAGTTTTTTATGACGAGAGGTATATCATTTTCGAAAGACTGAGTCGAAAGTTTGATAAACACTGATCTAAATCATTTGTTTTTTTTTCTTCAAAACCAGTTTTCATTAATTTTTAATAATGGTTTAGACAATACTTAAATATAATTTTTATTGTAAAGTTTGTTACTATTAATAGACTATTTTTTCATCAGCACAACAATGCCATTTCAAGGTTGAAATTCAATCTATATAATAACTTGATCTATTTTCATTAAAGCAGTGATTGTTATATTTTGTTTTATCTTTCAATTCATTTGATTCGATAAAATCTATATGGATTTTAAATTAATTATTAAACTCATTTGTTTTTTAATTCTCAATCAATAGTAATTAGTCATTAAACAATAATTATCTCCATTGGTTGTGATGACAATTTACAAAGTTAAACAACGTTTCTCTGGAATACAACATTTCCTTGTTGCGGTCCTGACAATTTGAATGGGGTAATATTTCCCAATTTAGAACAAAGATAATAACATAAAAACGATTTTCTTAAGTAATCATAATAATATGCATTTTTATGGAATCACAATTGAACGATTATCTAATGTGATTCTCAAATTGGGGGTCGAGGAAAAATTGATGACAGATCAACCCTGGATGTTTAAGTAAACCATCCAAAATCTGTTACACATTATTAATTAATAATATATAAAAAAACGTTTGTTACTTCTCATTGTCTAATTTATTATTGATCTAAGAAATTGTATTTGCTTCGCACTGCGGATATAAAATGGAACTTCAAATAGTTCCAGTTTTTTGTGATTAGTTTTTTTTTCTTTCTATAATCGTTACCATGGTAATACACCCGTTGTTTCTGTCTCTTCGCGCTCGAATGAATTTATAGTTAGTGGTTTGCGTGCTTTCGAAAGAGCAGGATTCGGGAAATAAATTAGAATAGAAATTGAAATAAAAAACAACAACGGAAAGACAACTAGGGGAGTTCGATTAATATGTGAGTTTTTGTTTTGTTTTCAATGGGAAATCCTAGAAAAAACGTGAATTTCCAAAAAACGTTTTGTTATTGTTTTCAATATGAACATACGTATTTTATTATTTATCATGTTCTATTTTTGTTGTCGATTGCTTTTGTTCTGTATTATTTACAATGCAGGTTATTTCCATTCATTGTTAGTCATTTATTCTTAATCAAAACCACGGAGTAATTTTAAATTTGAAACGTATTTTTTTTATTATGAATGGAAATGATGTGGTTTTTAGTAATTTGTTGCTCAATTAATAATCATTCTATCAAATATATAGTAAAGTCTTTGATATAAATTAATTTTGTTGAAAACTATTTATCAATTGAGTTTGTTTAATATTTAGTATATTCACATTTATTGTGTATTAACAGATTGAACATTATAAACTTAATTATACAGTGGAACCCCGCATAACGAGCAATTCGCTTAACGAGCAAAATGAGTTGTAAGAAAAATGACTCGCTTAAGGGGCGACGTTTCGCATAACGAGTGGCGATGAGAAGAGAAATCACGGATTGCGCGCCTGCTACATCATTTCACTATATGAGTAAAAATCCGGAAATTTTGGACTTTTTTTTAGCGAGGTTCCACTGTATTAGAAATGTATTATAAATGTCATGAAAATTTAGTTAAGAATCAACCCACATTTGTTTTTTAGTTATTTAGTTTAGTTTTATGATCTTTTATAATTTTTATTTTCTGAACTTTCTTTCTCAGATTACTTTTTTGTTTAATTTGATCTTCATTTTTTACTTCCTTGTTAGATTTAGTTATTCATTATGATTAACATTTAATCCTGGAATCAAATTGTGACTTAACTCACAATCAAGTTTTGACTTAATCAGAAAAAAATAACCTATACATTTACAATCGCTTAGAAATGAACAATGAACGGCTTCATTGTTCATTTCTAATCGAGTTTTTTTATGATTCTTAGAAATCCTTCATGGTCATTATTTTATTGCATTGCAAATTAGTAAAGGATTTCAGATTGTAATTTAAGCAAAAAATTATAAAATTGAAAATACAAATGTATAGAATATACAGGAAAAATCACGAATTTTATAAATATAATCTGAATCTAATCAGATTTTATATATATGTATTTTTGCATTTCTATATAAAATCGTTAATAAAATTATATGATTAATGCATTAAAATGATAATGTTTTACTCTACTGAACTTGAATTTTGTAATAATTATTAATAATATTTTATAACAATTTTCTAATCAAAAATTAGAACATTTTACTACATTTTTTATGAGAAACATTAAATTCGATACAAAATTTTGCAAAGCAATGCTTTTTACTAGTAAAACATCTAGGAATAAACAATTAATTGATATTATAAAACATATATTAAATGTAATAAAAAAAATACAACACATAAAATGATTTTCGATATTTTTGTTTTGTCTAAAATATAATATTAAAACACTTAATTAATATGTAATTATAATATAATAACACGCTGCACACAGTATAAATTAAATTTATTATGTTTCGAGCAAAACTTGTCTTTATAAATTCACAATTAATAATAAACTTTAATTAATATTACTACTATTTAATTACTATTTTTTATGAATTACTTATTATTTAGTTACTGAACTATGATGTTAGATGTCCTTCATTTTTTTTAATTCGAAATACTAATTTTGTTACTTAAATACACGATTTTTTTTTAAAATAAGTTATTATTGTTTATCTATCATTATTTTCTACAAAAGAAAATAATAACCATAACTATAAACTAATAAATAATGCAGTCAAAGCAAGCGAAAGGATGTGCAAGAGAATGCTGAGCATGTGTTGAATATAAAATAAATAAATTATATTATTTTCTTATAATTTGATCATACTTTGAATACGTTCTTAATCAAACATGTTAAGTTTCCATGCAAATTAGAAAAGAAGAAAATAAAAAAAAATATATTAAATTGTTTACATTGTTTTCACATAATTTTACAAATATAAACAATTTTAATTACAAACTGTCAGAGCTAAGGCTATGTATTCACGTCTTTTTTTTTTCAATAACAAATTTCTTACACAATTGATGTACATTGTAAGTACACGTGATGATAGATATCGATTTACTTCTAAAAATATAAATGTTGAGAAGGAATGAGACTTATC